TGGCAGGCCCAGGCTGGATTCGAACCCGCCACCTTAGGTGTATGTGGCTGGCGCCTTAGCCACTTGAGCCACAGGCGCCTAGCCAAGCCTTAAGTTTCAACTCTTGATCAACTATAGCAACTGCCTGGAGCAATGTATTGAAAATAAATTCTGTGGGCAGCACCTGTGGCTCAGTGAGTAGGGTGCTGGCCCCATACACGCAGGGTGGCAGGTTCAAACCTGGCCCCAGCCACTGCAACAAAAAATAGTTGGGCTTTGTGGTGGGTGCCTCTAGTCCCAGCTACTCAGGAGGCTGAAGCAAGAGAATCACTTGAGCCAAGAGCTGGAGGTTGCTGTGAGTTATGACACCATAGCACTCTACTGAGGGTGATAAAGTGAGACTCAGTCTCAAAAAAAAAGAGGGCAGCACCTGTGGCTCAAAGGAGTAGGGTGCCAGCCTTATATGCAAGAGGTGGCGGCTTTAAACCCAGCCCCGGCCAAAAACTGCAAAAAAGAAAAGAAATTTTGAGATGAAATCTAGGACCACAACAAAAGAAAAGAAAAAATGGCTCGGCGCCTGTGGCTCAAGTGCCTAAGGTGCCAGCCACATACACCTAAGGTGGCAGGTTTGAATCCAGCCCGGGCCTGCCAAACAACAATGATGGCTACAACCAAAAAATAGCCTGGGCATTGTGGTGGGCGCCTGGGGTCCCAGCTACTTAGGAGGCTGAGGCAGGAGACTTGCTCGAGCCCAGGAATTGGAGGTTGCTGTGAGCAGTGAAGCCATGGCACTCTACCCAGGGCAACAGCTTGAGGCTCCGTCTCAAAAAAAAAAAGAAAAGAAAAGAAAAGGAAAGAAAAAAGATAGGTGATTGATTAGTGATGTCTCCCATGGGTACAGTTTTGTGTTTTTTTTGCAGTTTTTGGCTGGGACTGGGTTTGAACCCGCCACCTCCTGCACATGGGACCAGTGTCTTACTCCTTTGAGCCACAGGTGCTGCCCCCATGGGTACAGTATTAATGATGTACTTTACTGTGTATTAGTCATCCTTCCTTTCATCCTGTCTTCTATAGATAGGATAAAACTGTAGCCCAGAGTGGTCAGGGAGGTTGCCAAAGGTCACAGAGCTAACAACATTAACCTGCAAAGCAACAGAGGAGTAGCAGAGGGGTAGGAAGAGTAGCATTTCTCATTTTCACCTACCTGTGTTTTCCTCGTCTTCTTGCCTGCTGGGGTTCAGGGCCATGACCTGTACAGTCACAGAGTTACGAGAAACGGTGCCACCACTGCGCCCTGGAGGCCACACCTTGTGAGTCTGCATGTGTTTCTTGACATTAGATTTCTGGGCAAAGGCACGGCCACATGCAATGCACTGAAAGGGCTTCTCACCAGTGTGGCTGTGGGAAACAAGGTTTGTTAGCACCCTCATGCAAGAACAGGGACACAGATGTGGCCCAGGTGCTCACAGCTGCCAGCAAGACCCAGAAGGAACATCTAGATGCTGCTGGTCACCATTCTGACATTACAGGGACAAGCCCTCTTGCTGAGGCAAAAAGACCAGAGATGGGAAGACCCTGGGCTTTCAATCACACTAGGGAACTGCTGAATCAACCAATCCTGAAGCTGACCTTTTCTCTGACCATCTCATACTGTGAAAGAAAGCATTTCGTAATTATTTAAGCCGACTTTATCGAGACTGTGTTATCTGAAGGAAAAAATATCCTAGCTGTCCCAGCACAGCACTTATATCACAAAGTAACATTTTTTTCAAATCAACTCACTTTTTAATTTTTTTTTTTTT